CAGAAATTCAGAAATTTAGAAATTCAGAAATTCAGAAATTCAGAAATTCAGAAATTCAGAAATTTAGAAATTCAGAAATTCAGAAATTCAGAAATTCAGAAATTCAGAAATTCAGAAATTCAGAAATTCAGACATTCAGACATTCAGAAATTCAGAAATTCAGAAATTCAGAAATTCAGAAATATCATATTTAGGAATTCTGAAATTCAGAATTTTTCAGATTAACAAAAATATCGATAATCCAACTTTCAAAACTAGACATTTCAGAATTTCCGAAGATTTTGATTTTTATGATTTTCAGAATTCCGAAACACCCTAAACGTTAAAATCTTCAAACCTATATTTATATGAACACTCTAGACAGGATGCTCCAACACAAAAAGTGGGCGGAGCCTATTTTCCTCATCGAATGACGTAAATCGACACATTCCCCATGGAAATTTGAATTTCCCGCTTTCCGTCTAGAACTCTAAACTTGAAAAAAAAAGAGGAAGAAAAAAGTTCAAATTCGATGATAAAATCATCTGGAGTGGAATGGAATGACAAACAGCCTTCCGATTTGATTATACGGGATTATATCTAGCTTGATAGCTATAAAATCTAAAAAATTAGCTATAAAATCTAAAGCATTTTAAAAAACATGTTTCTAGTTAAGAAAAAATTTCTAGCTTTTTTAGTTTTTGAGATATAACTGTTCGAAAATTCGAAAAAAAATTTTAAGCTCAAAATTTTTTTAATTTTTAAAAATTCATATCTCAAAAACTGGAAAAGCTAAAGACCTTATTTAAAAAATAAAATGTGAGAAATTTCAAAATCTACAATTTTGTAATTTAAAATTTTGCTCTGAAATTCTTAGTTTTTGAGATATGAAGCTCAGAAAAGTCGAGTCCTTTTTTTTTGAAAAAAAAATTCCATGCCCTTTATCTCATAATCCAGAAAAGGTATTGAAAAAATTCCAACTAGAAATATGTTTCAAATTTTTTGCTCTTTTTTAATTATTTAAATTTTCATGCTGATTAGTTTTATAATTACTCAAAAATACCGAAAAAGAGGCTCAGAATACGTAATGTGTGGGGGTGGAGAGGAGACGTAAACACTTTTTCTCTTTTTTTTTTCCCTGAATGAATATTTGATGTCTTTGGATAAAAAAGAAGAGAAGCTTCTCTGATTTCTTTCCCATCCTCTAATTAGCCAATTAACTGAAATTGGCTCCGCCCACTTTTCTTTTTTCCACGTATTCTGAAAAGAGAAAAAAGGACGAAAAAAAAAGAGGAGAAGCGCTTGGATAATTAGGCACAAGTTTTACTTTTTCTAGAATAAGAAACAGCAAAAAAATGTGAGAAAAATACGTGAGAATTGGAAAAACGACATCAGAAAAACACACTTATTAGAGGATAGTTATAGTCAAGGATTCTAGGGTACAAAAATTTTGGGAAAAAACTGCAAAATCGGAAATCCCAGAAATCCAAAAATTCTAGGCATCTTGTAATTTCTAAATTTCTGAATTTTTTGATTTCCTGATTTTTTATCTTTTTTTGAAATTGTGAACTTTTTTGGAATTTTCTAAATTTCTGAATTTTTGAAGTTTCGACCTTTTTGGAATTTCTGAATTCCCTAAAATTTTAAATATTTATATTCTTTGTATTTTTCGAATTTTTCGAAATGTTCAATTTTTTGGAACTTCTGATTTCTAAGAATCTAAGAATAAAACTGAATTGAACTTCTGAATTTCTGAATTTCTGAATTTCTGAATTTCTGAATTTCTGAATTTCTGAATTTCTGAATTTCTGAATTTCTGAATTTCTGAATTTCTGAATTTCTGAATTTCCGAATTTCTGAATTTCCGATATTATATGTGAATTTCAGAATTTCTGAATTTCAGAATTTCTGAATTTCTGAATTTCTAAATTTCTGAAATTCTGAATTTCTGAATTTCTGAATTTCTGAATTTCTGAATTTCTGAATTTCTGAATTTCTGAATTTCTGAATTTCTGAATTTCTGAATTTCTGAATTTCAGAATTTCAGAATTTCTGAATTTCTAAATTTCTGAAATTCTGAATTTCTGAATTTCTGAATTTCCGAATTTCTGAATTTCTGAATTTCCGAATTTCTGAATTTTTGAATTTCTGAATTCCTGAATTTCTGAATTCCTGAATTCCTGAATTTCTGAATGTCTGAATTTCTGAATTTCTAATTTTCTGAATTTCTAATTTTTTGAATTTCTGAATTTCTGAATTTCTGAATTTCTGAATTTCTGAATTTCTGAATTTCTGAATTTCTGAATTTCTGAATTTCAGAATTTCAGAATTTCTGAATTTCTAAATTTCTGAAATTCTGAATTTCTGAATT